CTCTTCCCACAGTTCTGGGACCTGGTGAGTCAGGCCCATCAAGTAGATTTCTCCTCAGGCAAAGGGGAATCTCAGCCAAGCTTCTGCACTTAGAGTTCAGGATCCACCCCCCAGTGTTCCCAATCCTTAGGTCCCTGGCTTCCCACAAGCACAGTGAGGATGCTGCACTCTGGACAGAGCCTGGGACTCCCCTCATGTCTGGCAGCTCTGAGCCCCTCTTTACAAGGAGTGCAGTGACTTGGGTGGAGCCTAGGCTCCCCTTGGGTAAGTCACAGTTCCTCAGTTCCCTCTTCTGTAAAGAGGGGATGAGGGAGAAAGAACCCTAGCTGGGGATGGTCACTACTGGAGGGAAGATGTTAAGTCTCAGAAAGTGTGATAGATCCAGACCATTAAGGAGCTTTGGAGAAGCCTAGGGGCGTGGGTCTTACAGAATTCAGGGCTGGGCCTCTGGGCAGCAAACCCACCTTCTCACCTCCACCCCAGCTTTCAAGACTCCTTATTTCCCTCTAATAAAGACATGTTGCAAGGGTGTGAGGGGGTAGTGCTTAGAGTGGAGCAGGGAATAAAGGGGGCAGAGCTCTTGGGTTTTCTGTTTTTTTTCAAAGGATAGGCCCTTTCTGGCCTTGGGTCTGTATTTGCATCACTGACCATCTGGGTGATAAAGTCATCTCCTTGCCTGGCCTACATGGCTTGGTGGTTGAGCATTTACCTACGAACCAGGAGGTCATGGTTTGATTCCCAGACAGGCTTAACCCCCAGTAAGTGGAATGCAGGAGGCAGCCAGTCAATGTGTCTCATATTAATGTTTCTATCTCTCCCTTTCACTTCCTCTCTGAAATCAATAAAATATATATATAAAAAGTAAAGTTGTATCTTTCTCTCTGAGCCTTACTTTTCTTGAGTGGAAAATGGGAGCAATGGCATGTTAGGTATAATACAAACATATGGGCATAGTTGTTATTAGACAAGTTGGTGTTATTAGAAGAATTCCTTGGTGTAGGCATTGAAGTTGGAGAGATTGGGGATTTGGGACAAGCAATGCGACTATCTTATTCATTAAGGTATTTGCTAGTGGGACTGAACAGCATTATAATTTAGAGCTTTTGAGTGCCAATTCTGGCATAAAAACTGCTAGCTATCAGTACTTTATCTCCTAATTACTTGGTGGGCACACCCTCTACTTCCCTGAGCTGCTGTCTCCTGTTAAGTGGATATTACAATAATACCTCCTCTGAAAGTTGATGTTGGGATTAAATGGATCCTGGATATGAAACTGTTTGGAAGTTGGATGGGCCTATGGTGCTTGATCTGGGGATCAATTCTCCCTGAAAAGAGCTGGGATTTAGTGTGTGTGTGTGTGTGTGTGTGTGATGTGTGCAGCCTTCAACCTTTGGACTAACATTGAGGTTTAGGGTGCCAGGCCCCCTTCTGTCAACCTCCCCAGTAGGGGCTGCCACTTACATCTTTTGTCCATTTCTTCAATCACCTTGCTCTGGTTAGTACAGACCCCAAATCAGGCCATTCTTAGCTTTCCCAATTTGTGCCCCTACCTCCCAGAGTCTCTGCTCCCTGAATTTCTTCTTCCTCTTCCTCCTTCCTTAGGCCTCTTCCCCACAAGTCTTGTCTGACACTGTTAGCTGCCCCCCGTGGAAGGTTAATGACTCATGGCAGGCTAAACTTGTATCCCTCAAATGGTGGATGCTGGAAAAGTGTGATTTGCTGGAAGGAGAGAGACCGCCCACTGAGCTATACATCCTGGGGCAAAGTGCCTTCCCCTCCCAGGGACTCAGTTTCCCCCTGAGTTCCGATCCACGAGGTTGGGGACCCAGTTGTCCTTTGGAAAAAGGCCTTGTGATGTGTACGGTGTCAGTGTTTCCACGTGTGCATTTATTGTTATTGCTCAGTATAGTGTTGAAAAGGCAGACAAATCCCATTGATTACAAAAAAAGCACAAGCCAGAGATACAGAGAAATAAAGAGTGTACAATAAGAGCACAGTCACTTCCCAGCCCCGATTGTCCCAGAATCCCCCGCAGAGCCTGGACAGCTTGTGGAAGCTGGAGGCGGCACCATTTCCTCACTGCTCTGTTATAAAATATGTGCACACAAAGTTAGCAAAGTGTGGCGGCCCCCGAGAGGAAAGGTTCGGAGGGAAAGCACCACAGACATTACAAAACAGACTTAGGGGCTGAGAAGGGCAGTCGCAGCCTCAGATATCTTATTTTCAGTGGAGGGGTGATGGCTGATACCCAGGGCCGAGGATCCCCTTCTCCCCATTCGGGGCAAATAGGATCTCTACGTCAAAATCAGGAGAGCTTGCTTTGGAACTTGGGAAGGACCTAGGGATTTCTGCTGTTGTCTGAGTTAGGTCTCAGCTCTCAAAGTCCCAAAAGCCTTCAAGAACTGAGCCTCTCCCTTCCCTGCCCGGATCTTCTAATGGTGGGGTCTTGGACACTATGGAGTTTTGGATGGGAGGCATGTCACAGTGAGCCCAGCGGACAGCCTCCTGTAAGTAGGACAACAGAGGGGGGTGGTGGGGCTGGGGGGTCAGGGTTGTGAGAAGGTCTAGACAAGAAATGGCTGCATCCCAAAGGAAGTATCACACAACCACTAGAAACTTTGGATAAAGAGCAAAAAAGCAGTTCAGGAAAGGGAGGCAGGAATAAACATTTCTCCAGGAGGAGAATTAGACATACAGACAACTGGGCCACCCATTCTCATAGCTCCATATCTGGGAGAAACCCCTCTTTCTTGTCTGGACCAGGGCAGATAAAAGGCCCACCCTAGTACAATAAGTGGGTGACTTTGGGTCCCAAACTGGGATGGGGGGCAGACTTAATGCCCCTACTTCCTATTGGTGGCCTTTCCTACTGACACAAGGGAACAAGTGGGAGTATGAGATGAATGTTGGGCTTCCCTCAAAATTCAGGATGCCCCTTTTGCTTCTCCTTACAGAACACTCTTTAGGGACCCCGAGTGGACAGTACTTACAATGGCAGAAAGATGTTTACACACAGAATGGCAGGGCCCAGTGTATTTGAGGTGGGTAGAGGACATGCAAAATTTTAGTTTACTGGGAAGAACAGATGTGAGAGAATAATTAGGAAATTTTGTAAAAAAAAAAAAAAGAGTGAAGAGTACTTATCCTACCACATGATAAAACTTTATAACATATCCTACCATATAATAACACATTCTATATAGCAACAATAATTAAAATTATGTGGCTGGTGCCAGATGAGACACCCAAAAAGGGAATAAAAGGTAAATCCCAGAAATAGACCCACCTCTATCTCAGCTATCAGTGTTTGGTAAAGATGACATTTCAACATGGTTGGGGAAAAGAGTGGCTATTTACTAACTGGGATACCCAAGATAGGGCAGGTCCAGAGTCCTTGCATCAATGCAGTCATTGCCATTGGTCTGGTCTCAGAAGGAGGACAACCTTCCTCTTGCCAACTCCATGCTCTGGTTGGGACAAGTGGCCCAGGGGCCACAGTGAAGGGAGCAATCAAGGCTGCTTCTGATTTAGGGAAAGTGCTGCCTGAATTGTGTAAGGAAACCCGGAGGTTTCCTCCCTGCTCACCTCCAAAGGTGAGTGACTCTACAGCCCCAGGGGTCATTGAATGGGCCCTCGGCTCCTCCCATAGCTGTAGGGGAAGACAAGTTGGTGAGCTTAGACCTAGAACTGAGCCTCCTCCTGGAGCCCTTGTCCAGAGGACAGAAAGGAAGCTAAGTGCAGTTATAGAAAGAAGTATTAGTTACAGGATATATATTTACTATATTTTGTTTGATTATTTTTTTTCTTTTTCTTTTTTTCTTTAAACCACAGACATTTCAGAACCACAGTGCGGGAATAAGAAGAGTCAGCAATTGAAAGCATTGCATAGTATTAAATGAACAGAGACGGTGAGTTCTTTATTTACAATTATTGTCTAGATAAAAAAATTCATAAAAACAGATGAATGGTCATAAATTATTTACCCCCTAATGGGGTGAACTGCCAAACGTACCCCATGCTGCTAGATATAGGACACAGAGTGCAAGCTTTATGTACTACAGTGAGTTTTGACAAACCCAATCATTTCCTGTGTGTGTGGATGTGTGTGTGAGTGTCAGAGGGAGGGTGTGTGCGTGTGTTGTGTGTGTGTGTGTGTGTGTGTGTGTGCGCGCGCGCGCGCGTGAGCATCCATCATTCCTGACAAGGAAGGATCAACCCTAATGCAGGGCATTCTCAGTAGCTTCCATGGCTCCCTGTTCCCCCAGCTAGGACCCACTCAGAAACCCCACCCCGCTTCCCTGGTGTCCTGGCCCCAAATAAATAGGGAGCGTGGTGTGCCAGGGCAGCCTTCCCAGGGCTATGGAATGAGGTTGGGGCACAGGATTGGAACAAAGAAGGGGGAAGATGGAAAACCTTGAGAAAGGAAACTACAAAATCCCTGTGTTCCAAGGCTGCCCAACATTTTCCTTGTGCAGGTCTTTCCTCTCGGTAGGCAGGAGAGCAGCGGGCTGGCTTTTGATGGTGTTAGTATCGGAATCCAATAAGCCTATCTGCGGGCTGGTCGCCCCTTTGGGGGTGCAGTCTCCTCTGCTGGGTACACTCAGAGACCTTTCTTCACGACATTCAGGCGATGCTCTTGTGCAAAGGCGGTCCTCCTTCCAGGAAGGTTGTGCCAGGTGGGATGGGCTGACTTGGGGTCCCAAACCCTCAGGTTTCTCCAGGTGCAGGCCCTCCCAGCTGACTATGGCTCTTTTCCCGAGTGGCTCTCATCTCGTGTGTGGAAGAGTTCTCTGGGCCTGGAGAAGGGAGGGGGCTGGGCTGATGCAGAGCAACTGTGGGCAGGGTCATTGTGAGGAGTGGATTTCACAAGCGAGGCGGAAAGTGTTTGGTTTTCCTTGAAGCATGGGACGTCATCGATCATGGTATTCAAAATGTCTTTTGCACTGTACAAGTTTATGGAAAAAGGTCGTATGCTGAAAAGTCTCGAAGCAAACTTTGTATTAAATACAAAAGTTCTTTTATGAAAAAAGCTGATACCCACAAAGTGCTTAGCAGTTAAGAGGCTGACATACAATTAAATAAGCTCTTATTAAGTGGGATTACTAGTGCTGTAATTGTCTCGAGGGAAAAATAACCTCCTCTTCTCACCTGCGATACTGTAGGGTTTCAGAATGGCTTTCTGTCGGGAAAGCGACTTGCTGTTAAAAGGCTACAGTATATATTGCGACTATAGGAAGACAATTTGGTTTAAAAATCACACTGAATACATCTCGATATACACATCATAAGGTTTGTTCGGATCTAAATAGTGCAGAGAAAAAGGCTATTCTTCTTCAAAAATAAAAATAAAAGCAGCAAGCCATAATGATCCTCATCCAATTACACCAACAGCTCAAATGCTGCAATTAATAAGGAAACAAACCTCTAAATTACTAACAACAACAAAAAAAATCAACACAATAGCATTTATAATATTGCAACACTACCTCAATCTCTATACAGACAGTGCCAAAGAGAACCTCTTCTCGAAATGCTCTTTGTAAACCCAAGTGAGTTTCGCTGAGAGAAAAGTCTTCAGCAAATGCTTTGTTCCGTCGTCCTTGGGCCGGGAGCACCCTCAGCGCGCCAGGAAGCCTTCTCTCTCCTCTCCCTTTGTCTACGGAGCATGGTGTGAAAGCCCTCAGCATGGGATCTCGGTAACTTTTGGCTTCTGCCTGAGCCTTCTGTGGTAGTGACATTGTTGAACGGAAATAGCAGGCAAACTTCAGAGCATGGCTATTGTAAAACATCAAGGATACAATCCAGGGAAGTGTCTGTTGGGCTGAGCTGTTTTTTTTTTTATAGCATCTCAGCCACCAGTGTTCTTAAACCATACAAATAGCCAAAGACATTATCTACAGGTTTGTAAACAAATTACATTCTTCTTTTAGGACATAAATAAGTTAAAATAGAGCAATTTAAGCAGAAACAAGGCAACATGCCGGCAAAGAAACTTTATATATCCATGTATATATATTTATATATATATATTTTTTTTTTTTCCCCCCTACCTATCTATATGGACGTATACAGTCTTGAGTAAGTATACGTTGATATAGATATAAAGAAATGGAGATAACCTTGTGAGTGTCTATGAAGTTCTTCGGTTCCATTGGTGCAAATCTACTAGGCGAGTTAAGCTCTGCAATGTCAAAAAGTTGTTAAATTAACCTATACAACTGAGACCATGCTTTGCAAGCATTTCAAAAATTCACAGACCAGGGGATTGGATAAATAGTCTCAGAAAATAGTCTGTTTGCAGTTCCCGCCTAAGAAAACAAACAAAAACCCTCTCCAGCCCCCCCAAACCAAACAAGCGGAGGACTGGAAGTGTGCAGTACATTCATGCAGGGGACATGGCGGCTGGGCGGGTGCAAGGCTGGTCCATGTGTGGGCAGGAGCCAGGAAGGGCTTGTTCTGAGAGGATCGCTCAGGCCCTTAAGCCCCGAGGAGATCCCGCCCCTTGCCTCAAAGTGAAAAAGAGTTCAAACAGCATCACAGCCAGAAAGAGGGTCTGTTGGGTGGAAACGTTGGTTTTCTCGCCATTATTTGGTTTCCTGTTGTTGCTCCGTTGCTGCTTGAGTGAGTTGGGTGCCTGGATGGGTGGGTGCCGGGGAGGTGGGTGGTGGCGGGGTCCTCAGCTAAAGCGACGTCTCCAGGCTGTGGATGGGGCTCCCTGGACTTGAAGAGGTAGCTGATTTGCTTGTGTCGGTCGTCAGGTTGATCCCGCTGTCGATGGCGCTGTTGTTCTTATTGAGCGATGACGGCGGGCTCGAGTTCTGCTTGAGCGCGGCATCTTCTTCCAGGTCGGTGTCATCGATGAGGGGGATGTGGGGCTGTGAATCTTCGATCCGGAATTCAGGATGAGCCATGAAATTATGGATGGAGGTTCGAGACTCAGGCTTTTCTAGACCTTCATAGAGAGAGCTACGGAACGCCTTCACGACGCGGATCTGCAAGGGAAGCGCAGGGGTGAGAAAGCAGTGCCCTAGGGCGTGTGTGTGTGCCCTGGGGGTTTGGGGAAGGGGCAGGTGGGAGAGGGATTAGGGCACAGCAAGTGGGTGGAATCCATAGTCTCGGGGTGTTATGAGCATGGACAGGAGAGGGAAGAGTGGAAGAGAGGCTCAGGTTATATGCATCCATGAGGTTTTTTAACATTGCTTTGGTTTTGGTCAAAACGACAATATTAGGACAGGAGGAATCAAGGCCCATCAAAGAGATGATGGGAAACTGGTCAGAGGAAGCATGGTCCACTCTGGCGGGCACCCAGACCTAGGGAGAGACTGAGCCTTGTTAACTTTAAAGCGGGTTCGACCATGCAGAAGGGTAACGGGGCCAGGTGGGAACAGAATAGGAAGGAGAGGCTATTTTTTTTTTTTAAAGTAATCTTAAAAAACAAAACAAAACACCCCACACACAGTTAAGAAACCATACCACATGGAACAGATAACATGTCATGAACAGAAAAGGAACAGAAAGGAGAGACAGATGGATAAACCGGGATGAGAGAAGACACACGAGGGCCAAACAGAGAACTGAATGTCAAAACGAAGGCAGCAAAGCAAACCAAAGCCAACTCAGAGCTTTCTGGGGTGCAGAGCAGAGGCAGCCAGAAAGCACAAAGGAGCCGGCGGACGGGCGACATTCGGGAGGGGAGCATGCCACGGTGGGGGTCAGGGACCACACGGCACACGCAGACAGACACACGCTACACTTGGAAGCCTGGACAATGTGAACGGAGGTCGTTTTGTACCCAACGTTTCTTTCCTTCATGCATTTGGGAGGTAAACACTCGAGTATTGACTCAAAGCCCTGGCCAGCCATTGTAGTGGGCTTTGGGGTTCCTTATTTTGATATTTTCATTTGTGCCTTAAAAACACAAAACCAAAAAAACGAGGCCAGAATCAGATGGTCAAGCCCTGCCCTGGGTGGGGTTTTAAGGGGGTGTGGAACTGAACTCAAAATAGCAAGTTGGAACCTGGGTTCTCTGAAGAATGGAAGGAGGTGGGGCCTTGCATCCGCCGGGCTAGTGGGAAGAACCCTGGACCTGGAGCCTGAGTCCTAGCTCTGTCACTTCCGGTGCTTGACAGTGGGTGAGCCACACTCCCTCCCTGGCCATTTCTGTCCTTGCAGGGTGCAGAGAACAGGACCCTCACTTAGAAGAGAGGGGTCCCTCCTCTGGACACCTGGGAGGGGGAGCCATGACTGTTATCTCAAGAGATTGATGGGATTTGGGACAAAGGTTTTTCCCTCTCTTTTCCCAGCCCACCTCACAGGGGAGCAGCAGCAAGGGGAGTGCAGTGGGGGCAGCACATCAGTGCCTCCAAGGAGCAGAGCCTCAGCCGAAGCGGCTGTGGTCCTGCAGGCACCCTGCATGGCTGGGTGGCTGCTCCCACACCACGGGCCTCTGGGGCACAGAGGACGGGAGGAGTAAACCCAGGGGCAGCTCGCTGCGGGGCAAGGTGGGGAAAGCCTGTCCATGGACATGAATTTTCTTGCTGACTGTGGCTGATGGTTTTCAAGTGTCACAGCTCAGGCTTTATTTTACTTTTCCATAGGGGAGTCTTCCTAGAGCACATCATATGCTCCTCTGACTTTTCATTTAGAGTACACAGAGAAGAAGTGGGCTTTGCCAAGAATCTTTTGGTCTTGTGTAAGAACCTACAGTTATTATTATTATTTTTTTAAAGTTCTAGAAATGAAAGAAAAATCAACAAAATAAGAAAAGGAAAAAAAAAGTTCTTGCCGAAACCGGTTTGGCTCAATGGATAGAGCGTCGGCTTGGGGACTGAAGGGACTCGGGTTCGATTCCGGTCAAGGGCATGTACCTTGGTTGTGGGCATATCCCCAGTAGGGGGTGTGCAGGAGGCGGCTGATCGATGACTCTCTCATCGATGTTTCTAACTCTATCTCTCTCCCTTCCTCTCTGTACAAAATCAATAAAATATATTAAAAAAAAAGCAAAAAAAAAGCTCTTCTTGGCCTGGCTGGAGTGGCTCCGTGGTTGAGCGTCGACCTATGAGCCAGGAGGTCACTATTTGATTCCTGGTCAGGGCACATGTCCAGGTTGCAGGCTCGATTCTCAGTGTGGGGCGTGCAGGAGGCAGCTAATCAATTATTTGCTCTCATTATTGATGTTTTCATCTCTCTCCCCCTCTCTCTTCCTCTCTGAAATCAATAAAAGTATATTTTTTTTTAAAAAAAGTTCTTCTTTGATGTTAGCCATCACTTACTAGTTCTGATTTTCCCTTGTCTTCTCAAAAGCATCTCTGTCCCCCTTCTTTTTATGTGCTATTGGCTGGGGACTCCAAAGAACCCTGTCCACTGCTTTAATAGGAGGCCTCAGGTGTCGAGTGAGGGCCAGCCAGATGTGGTGCAGTAGTGCTGGCGCTCCATGATGGCTATTTGGCTGCCCTGAGATTTCTTTCTCCTTGGACTCCATATCTGTGGCTCTGTAGAGATTATTAATATTCTGATGCCCTTATAAGTAGTGGGCCACTACACCATTGATTAAGTGCAAACAACAAAAAAGGTGTTGCAGGCCTCAGTTTTCTGATCTGTGAAATGGGAATACTTATTATTGTAGTAGCTGCCCAGCCTAGTGCCCAGAATGTTCGGAGGTGCTGAATTGTATTAAGATTCCAGCCAGAGCCCCTAGTGGAGGAGGAGGGATGGTTGCAGGACCCTGTCAAGTGACTGACAACGCAGAGGGGACAACACACAATGAGATGCAGGTCCCCTGCCCTCCCCCTGGCATGGAGACAACAGAAAGAATGAACTGCTCTGGACAAGACTGTGGGGACAAGACTTTTTGGGACACCCCGCCACGGCCATCTCAAGTCTCCACTTCGGTTCTCTCCACGGCTGAAATGGAAAAAAATATGGGAAGAAAAAAAGCTCTTCCATCTCCCCTTCCTGCCTACCCTGAAGACGGGGTTTTGTGGAATGAGCTGCAAGGGGCATGGGGGGAGGGGAGAGGTTCCAGGCATTTTGGTTTCATCAGCACAAAGGGAGCAGGAGGGCTCTGAGGAAATGCAGAGGCCCTGGCCTGCGATGGTTCGACATACTCGAATGTTTACCCGGCTTCAAGGAAGCCAAGAGTCTGGGACTGATTCACATTCATTTCAGGCTCAAGGTTAAAGACTCACAACCTCTTTTAATTTCACTCTCTCTTGCTGAACTCTGTGTCCAGGGTTCTCTAGCCCTCTAGGGAAACAAACACATGGAATATTCAGAAAGCAGAGAGGTCTAGGGTCCCCCACCATCCCAGAAGCAAGCCATTTTTCTTGTCAACCCAAGACTGCACTGAGCTAGTTACCAACGTGCTAATGAGAGGTCCAGCGTCCTTTCCTTTCCTAGTCCCTCCCCTAAGAGATGCACATTCCTTGCCACAGCAGTCCTCAGAACCCGGAGTCTGGAGGGGGAAGTGGGAGCAGGAGAGTCCTGTCTAGAAGGAGCAGTGTCCAGAGACAGTGGCTGGTCTTGGGGGTTTGTGGCCTGGCTGGTTTGAAGAAGCAGGACTTTCACTGATGAACACGGAGCCTGCTACAAACGTGCTATATACAAAGGTGGCTGGAGATGGGTTAGGAATTTGAGGGGAATAAGGCAGAGGAGTTGTGCAACTTGGCCTTGGGTCAAAGAGCTGAATGCTGATTTGTCCTTGATCACCATTGGGAAAGCCCCCTTCTCCCGTCCCTGCCAGGCTGGGGAGAGTCAAGCAGAAAAACAACTCCTTTGGGCTTGGGACCTTGAGGATTAGCTCTTTTGCTGGAGGAGGCTGTGGGTGTGAGTGCTGGTTCCAGAGTGGAAATTCAGCCTCTGTGGGCTCCAGGTCTGTGGGCTTGTCTTGGCTGGGAAGAGCTCTGGGGTGGTAGGAAAAATGAGGGACTTTGCACTCAGACCTCTTGCCACTCACTTACTAAGTGATCTTGGGCAAGACAGTCCACTTCTCTGAGCCTCAGTGTCTTTTTCAGTTAAATGGATGTATTGGCAGATCCTCCCCCCTCCTGTTTCAGCTGGAGGCATATGTGAAGTGAAGGATGTAGGCAACTGCTTGGGAAGATGTTGAGTGAGGCTCAAGGATACGTCAGGAGGGTGTGTTATTAAGTTTCTGGGGGTAAAACAAACTTGTTTGTGACTAAATCAGAAGAAGAAAGCAAGAAACCAGAGTTCCTTCTTGAACATTCCAGATGCCAGTCGGATGGGACTGTCCTAGCACCACATGCATTTTTTCTGCCTGGGGCCCTCCATCTCACAGTGGTGCTGGGGGAGGGATGTGTGTTGTGGGCGGAGCAGGTTCCTCACCCTGATGTCATGAGTCAGAAGTCAGTACAAGAGTGCCCTGCCCCTGGCTTTTATAGCCAACTCTTGATAACCCAGGGCACAGTGGTTTGGCTCCGTCAGAGCTCACAGACACCAGCATTTTCCATGCAGCATGCACATGGTCACCCTCCTCTGCTGGAGAACCCCCAGGAAGAGGACCCTGCTGAGAGGAGGCGGGAGGCAGCTTCATCTCACCCAGTCTTACTCCTGGCCACCTGCTGCACACCTCCCCATGGGAAGACGGCCTTTGGCTTCTGAAGGGACCCTGCCTGATATCTAGGGGGTCCTCAGAGACCTTGGAAACCAAAGGATGTGACATTGTTATAGAAACTATTTCAGCAAAAGAGGAACTAGGGGTATTTATTTAGAGTTTGCATTGTGACTATGTTGACCAGAGTGTGTGCACGGAAACCACAGAGGTTGCGATCCCTTTGGAACCAGTACCCTTGGGCAAGGGGACAGACAGGCTCTTTTTGAGACCATAGGTCCAAGAAAGGGTCCAAGAATGGGCCTAGAATTACAGGCTGGATTCTACAATAGAGGGTAGGAATACAAGGTTCTTAAGGAAGCATGCTTCCTGGGGGAGAGGCAAGGTGGTGGCTGGGGGAGGGAGCTCTGCCTGATAAGCCCCTTTGAGGTCTCTGAGAGAATTAAGGGTCAAGGCTTAAAGGCTCCTTTTTTTTTTTTTTTTTTTTTTAAAGAGAGAGTGGAAGAGTGAGGTAAAGACAGAGAGAAACATTGACGTGAGAGAAACACATCGATTGGTTGCCTCCTGGAGGAGCTTGGACCAGGGTCTGGGTGGGGAAGAGCCTGCAACTAAGGTATGTGCCCTTGACCAGAACCAAACCTGGGACCCTTTGGTCTGCAGGCTGATGCTCTAAACACTGAGCCAAACCGGCTAGGGCACAGGCTCCTTTTCAAAGGCTGTTCCAAAGTTGGGGTCACCCTGGGATAAAGGGAAAATTGGCTTAGAGATAGGAAGTAAGTGGAGGGTGGGCAGAAATGGTCATTTCTCTGAAGGAGAATTGCTAAGAACTAACTGTCCCAAGACCAGCCTTACTGAATGGCTTTACAAATGACAGAAGAAAAGATGAGAATTCAATGGCTAAGGTTTGAGATGACTGAGCTCTTTCTTTTAGCCTGAAAGCCAAGGGGAGGGGGAAAAGCCAAAGGAAGACTTCCAAAGGCTGAGAAGCAGGAATGTCAGAGCGGCTCTTTTGTGGCCAGTGCAAAGTGCCACACTTCAAGAAGAAGGCTGGACCAGGATGGACAAAGAACTAAGTGTGCACTCAGAAGCTAGGCTTCTGGCGGTCAGAGCCAGCCAGAAGGATGCAGGTGTCACGGGGTGGAGTGGCAGAAACCAAAGGAATGGAATCTTCCTCAAATGGCTTTCTCGGCCAGAACACTTCTGGTCACGGAGCAAGGTCAGAGCTAAGCTGATGCAGAAGTAGGTCAGCTGGGTGAGGGCCTCTCACTAAGGGGAGGGCTCTCTAATGCGTAGGGGAGAGGACGGGACCTCATCACTGGCTCTGGTTTCCTGCCCTGAGAAAGCCTGGCAGTGATTTCCTAGTGATACCTCATGGGAATGTGAGTCTGGACAGCATCTGCTCAAATAGGTCTGCGCATCACCTTGGCTAGTCTGGCCTCCCCATTACTGTGGTTCTGTGCTAACGAATGAATGAACAATGAGGGGCTTTCCCACATTTTCTGCATCCTTCCTGTCATCATGCATAACTGGCAGGACTGCATCCACTGAAAGATCATGGGACATGAACATATGCCATCAACAGGCTCTTTGTGGCTCATGTCCCTTGCCAGAGGGCTCAGATGGCATAGTTCCCGCCTAGCACACGGGTCCTCTCCTGTGCAGTGTGTTATGGGTGCTCTGTGTTTGGATGGGGGGAGGGGCATCTCATAAAGTATCAAGAGATGCCTTCTGGAGTCTATGCCTCCTCAAAGAAGCCCAAGGGCTGGCTAAGGGAACACATCGGGGCCATCTGAGAAGATCAGAACAGGGCTCCCTTGCAGTTTAGAGACAAGGAAAGGGAGGAAGGTGGTAAACAGACTACTTATTTGCTCTGAGACCTGAGGACATAGGGGTTCAGAAAGATCTAGACAAGGCCAGAGAAGAGATTCAGGTAAAAAGCGATGGCATGAGGTGACGAGCTGGGCAGGAGGGAAGTGATGGAGGGGGTCAGAGCCCCAGGCTGTTGCTCAGGTAAGGAAGGCAGGAAGCCAAGGACTAGACCAGATCCCTCAGGGCCTCCAGCTCCACACGAGACCTGAAGCTTGGCCCACTGAGGTCAAGTTAGGGGCCTTGTCCTTTCTAGGAAGGCATCAGACCTTGAGCATGCAGGGAGAGTGGTATGAGGCAGCTGATGCTTTTAGGTGTGCATGGAGAGAGGGCAGAGGGTTCCGAACCACTGGGCTGTGATCTCCTGGGACCCCAGATGGACTATGACCTCTGGCCTACAGTGACCACTCCCTTCGCTGGACCTCACTGTGCCTGACTGTGACCCCTGAGGGCCTTGACCCACAGTAACCCTTTGCCTGACTGACTGGAGACTGTGATTTCCTGGCCAACTCTGACCCTTGTCCTTGTGAGCCAGCTTTCTGTCACTGATATGACCCTAGACTGATTGGGACACCTTGTGCCCCCTGGCTGACTGCTCCCCCTTGGCTCCTGGGACCTTGTAGTGCAGGGGGATATTTAATTATTGAAACCTTTCTGGTGATCATTTGACTGATCCAAACTTTTTGACTACTTGTGACCCTCCCGACCCCTTGACTGACTGGTTGTAACTCCTGACTCTGACCCCAGCTGACTCTGCCCACCGAGAGACCGGCCCCCATCACTGACTATGGTGGCCCTCAGCCCACTGGGCCTAAGCATGACTGGCTGCCCCCCCATGTCCTTGGTGTCCCGGCCCCTGCCCGCCTGCCCGCCCGGCGCTAGCGTCGGTGGTGCCCGAGGCGGTAAGGATTCACACTCACGCCCAGCTGCAGCAGGAGGAAGGCTGGTCGGAGAGGAAAGAGCATTGGACAACGACACGTGACTAGGGCTAGAGAGATTGGCTACGTCCTGGCTCTGGCTGGTGACGGAGGACTGTCTCCGCAGGGCCCCCTGAAAGGAGGCCCCGCTCTTGAAAGTATTGACTACTTCAATCTGCAACGGAGGAGAGAACGAGACAAGTTGCGAGAAGAACGAACACAACAGCTACACGACTGACAGGCGCAATGCCACGAGAACAGCCGCAGCCACGGCAACAATGACGACGTCACTGAAATAAAAATAAAAAGTACCAGACACACTCCAAGGCTCTGAAAGATGTCTGCTCGGTTCTGGCCCATCTGCAGGCCCAGGGTCCCATGGAGGACCCCAGGGGCCAGTGGGCTGGGCTGGGGTTGATTAAACATGGTGTTTGGAAGTGAGAGGGGAGCTTAGTGCCACTTGGGGTCAGGGGTGGAGCCTGAGTGGTATGGTGGGGGCTCTGGGTGGACAGACTTTGGCCCAAATCTCAGCTATGCCACTTACAAGCTAGGTGACTTTGGGCAAGTCACCTCTCTGAGTGTAGTTTCTTATCCTTCTGAAGGGACGATGCCACCTACCTGGCAGGGTATTCTGTGAGTGGCAAGCACTTGGCCTGTGTTAGTGTTCCTTAAGAGCCAAGCTGGATAGGCACTCTGTCCATTCAAGAAACTACAGTCCCGGTGTCCTGCAACCTCGAGACCCCTGAAAGGCTCTGCGCAGGTTGGTAACAGCCATGTGCTCCGAGAGTGGCCCGGCAGGCGGGGTGCCCGATTCTTGCTGGGGAGGAGCCCAGGCTGCATCCTTCAGGTGGCTCTGGGGCTGAAACCTGCCTCTGTCCCCCACCCCAGCTCTCAGAAAGGGCTGCCTCCCCTTTAAACCCCTGCCCCCTCTAAAACTGGAGGAGGCTTACCTACCTCTCAGGGGGCTGGGAAGGTCAGTGAGATGATGTTTGGGACAACGCACTGTGGGTGTGAGGCAGCCCAGGTGACCTGTTCGTTATGTTTATTAAGTGAAGTGCTAGGCCACCAGGCAGGATGCAGGTGGGGTCTCTGAAACACATCCCAGAGTGGGATGGGGTGGGGGCCATGAACTTGCCAGATACAGCTCTCCCAGGTGGTCTGGGTAAGAGATGGACCCTCTCTCAGTTACCTAGGCTGTGAAAGCATGATGTGAACTGTAACCCCAATCCAGGCAGAGGGGCTGGCTCCCATGAGAGCCTGCAGCGCGTGGTGGGAGGGCTGCACATTGTAGCACCTGGCATGTGGCAGCCATGCAGTCTCTGTGCTGGGGAAGAAACACGTGTGCTCTGCAGGTGTCTTTGGCATGCATGTGTGTATCTGTGAGTGAAAACCAAGCTTTGCTTCCCAGAGCTGCCTGAGAACCCGGAAGACCATTATGGAGGACGACGATGTGTGAATGTGTATAAGCCCCGGATCTCACGGGCCCCTGGTCCTGGGAGAATTTGGGGCCAACCCTGGCCTGAAGCTGCCATCTTGGCCTCCTGGAGACCAGTCTCCAGCCTTGGGCTGTCCCTTCTAGTAGCTGCCCTGCAGCCCTGACTAGAGTCCCTAAGTCCCCTCAGCTCTTTGGCCCACTCTCCCTGCTCAGGGGTAACCCCTGACCCCCCAGTCTGATCCCTTGCTGACTGAGAAGGTGATGTGGGACATTCCTGAGGAGGCCACTGTTTCTTCAGCAGCCACTCGAGAGTGCGTGCAAGGAACGTGGGCACGGAAAAAGCTGGTGAGGTGGTGCGAGCAGGACCCTGACCTCTGTGGCCCTGGGAGGTGGTATGGAGCACATTCACTCCATCACCTGCCTGCCCGGCCAGGCGTGGGCCCAGCCCTGGGAGCCTCCTGTACCTGGGTTTGGATCCGATTCAGGCCTCGGAACCATAGGATCTGGCCCCGCCTCAGCTCCCGCTCGGCGTGGTCTATCTCCTCCACGTCCTCGTTGAGCTCCTCCTCCGGGATCTCCTCCTTCTGCGTGAGCCTGCCCGCCTCCTTGAGGAACTTGAGCCTGCTGGTTGGGATGGTGGCGATGACCTGCAGGGGATGTGGCAAGATCAGGGCAATGGGGGCTGTCCCTTAGTCAGCCTCCTTCCCTCCCTGCCACCCCCTCCTTGCTCTCCCAATCTCCTGCTTCTCTGACCCAATTACTTCCTTACATGTTCAACTAATTAACTCATCCCAATTCAATTTTAAATCTCTTATTAATTTGCTTTTTAATTCATTCACTCATCCAGAGTCAAGGGGGCACAGTGGAAAATCCTGGCTTCTAGGAGTTGGACAGATGTGACTTTGAGTACACCACACCTTCCTGGTCATGTAACCTTGGGCAAGTCCTTCAAGCTCTCTGAGCTCTGGTTTTCCCATCTGTAAAGCTGAAGGCAATTCTCTGGGCTGGAGGGTGAAGCGAGATGGTGTGTCTAAGATGCCATGCACGAGCTTGGTGGGCGCTCAGGCTTCTGGGCTCCCTCCTCCTGAGGCCTCTGGGTCCTGGGCACCCAACCTGAGCAAGAGGGTCTCAGGACCTACATAACCTGGGGAGAGCCAATTTGGGGATTCTGGGAATCGTTGCCTTCCTAACTAGGGGAGGCTACATGAGAAGGAGGAAACCTTCATTCTTCCTCTTTCTACAAAGGATTTGTCCATGAGGCTTAAGAGGCAGCCTTATGGGGGAACCAAGGTGGCAGTGGTCAGAGGCTCCTTGTATCCCCTGCAGGGATAGAGGGGCTGACATCAACACAGCTTTAAGGGTTCCCTGGTAGTTTAAGGTGGGCATTGCCTGCTGGCAACGTACTTAGGCATTAGGAGTCTGCTCACCCAGACACCCTGAGCTCTCTAAGGGAGTGGGCCCCAGGGGAAAAAAGATGGCCTGGCCCTGGGGGTGCCCAGGGAATGGGGTTTCCTGAGTCAAATCTAGTTTATCAACTCTTCCAAGAAGTCCAGAAGTTAAAAACATTTTTGAATAAAACTAAACTTTCTTTTCTTCTACTTAATTTCTGCCACTGAAACATCCCACCCAAGCCTGGGAACAGCTTGGAGGCAAGAACACTGTCTCAGGTCCATTGGGGCCCCCTGCCTGGGTGACAGAGCACCTCAGAGATAAAGTCCCTTTGGCCCAGCTTGTGTCTCATAAACACCAAAAGTCCTGGTTAGGATCTTTGAGCTGCAAATTGTGAGCCCTTTGATGGGTGTGTGTGTGTGTGTCCCGAGAACACAGGCAACAGTAGGAAAGGGAACTGGTGGGAGAATGTCCTAGGGTCATAGTTGAAAGGGCTGCACAGAGCACCCAGTCCAGTGGTGCCTAAAGCCAGGAGGATCTCAGATGGCCAGAGGCACAGCACTGAGTAGGTCTGCCACATGGCAGATTGCCTTTTTGTTCCCTCGGAGCCTCTGAAGGAGCCTCTCTTTGGTGTGGCTCCAACTACTCATCTCCCATCAGCACCATCAGTAACACCTCCTAACTGATCTCCTTTTTTGACAGCTAGCTGCCTGTAGGCTCTGAGCCTTGGCAGACCATGGCATCAGGTTAGAGTTTAATATCATTGTTCACTTTACATTATTTCTTGGTTAGCTTCTATTTATGACAAGTGATACTGACTTCCCACTCATGTTAGTAATATAAAATTGTCTTTTGAAATAAATTTCAATGAAAAAAAGCCTGATACAATTACAAGAAACTATTAAGTAAATAACATGATCAGTGGTACCTAGATATATGGCAAAAAATCAGAATGATGATACCCAAATGACAAGCATCTGGGACCTGGGCCAACTTTCATTGCTCAGATGCCCAGTGGCAGGGAGGGCCTTGTCCCGGGCCACACTGGGACCCATTCCTGGGGCTCCTGGATTTCCTGGCCAATGCTCTTTCCCTTCTCCCACTAAGAGGCACTTCCCATAACCCACTCAGAACTTACCTGGCCCCAGACGAGCTCTCCTAACCCGATGAATATGCACCACATCCACTGGTCCAGCTGCAGCGGAGAGCAGCTGAATGGCTTCCCCCCAAACTGCACGATCACTATCTGGAGGTCCACGGGAGCAGAGACAGAGACAGACAGAGAGATGGGCCATCAGGGGCCAGGCTAGAGGCCTGGGCTCTCAGGACACTGCAGGGAGCTCCAGCTGCCCACTGCCCGCTGGCCCAGGTTAAATGGTGGCCTGCCTACCTGAATGGCAAAGGTGCCCAGCACGATGGTGCAGAAGATGGGATTCCGGAAGATGCCGTCAAAGACGTTGCGCTCCCCATGGATCTTGCGGGCATTGATCTCGTTGAAGAGCTGCATCATGACGAAGGTGTTGAAGATGATGGTGTAGTGCTCCGAGGGTGGTGAGTGCAGGGGGGCATTCCTCCCGCTGTCGATCTCGAACATCTTTTCACCTGCCAAGCCGAGAGTGCGGGAGCTGGGTGGGGGAAGACCCTGGGCCCTGCAGCAAGGGGGGGCAGCCCAGGCATGGAGGTGTGCCCCGGACACGGGGCAGGTAGGCCTGTGCTGCTGGGTGGTCATGAGGTGAGTGAAGGGGTAACAAAACCCTTTATCCTCTAAGCCTTAGAGGATAAGGGAACAAGACCTTAGTGAACTTCCTTCCACTTTTCCATGGAAAGCTGGTAAAGGTGGGATGCTGGCTGTGTTATCAGGCGACGTTGCTAATAAAAACATGACAGGCTCATCTGGACTGCGATGACTGGAGGTGAACTAGAGATACCTGGTGGGAGGCCATGGCTTTGGGGGTCTCCCAAAAGTGCTGCTTTTTGTAACTGGGCGTGTCCCTTGCTGAGATATTTGGAAGCTCAGGGGACTATTATAAGAGATATAATTCCCATGTGGAGGCTGGGATCCTCGGCCAGACTGGCTCGGACACACCCATGTTGCCGCTTCTCTTACAGCTGAGCTGTCACACGGAGGAGGGCAGAGCACCCCGGTATTGTGTGGACACCCGCTGATGGTGTGCCTATGCAAGGTGGCGCCAGGAGGGCTTGTGGGGTTTCCTGTGTGAGAACTGTACACCTGAACCCAAGACCTCTGAGGGTAGATGCTCAAATGGGAAAGCCAGCAAGTAAGGCAGGGGCTGCCCTCTTCTCTCCCTGGGAGACTTTTTCTGGGAGTCTCCTACTTCTGCCTTTCTGTGGCTTCCTGCAAGGCTTCTCATGTGCTCTTCACTATGGCCCTGCCAACACTCCACTTTGGAGATTTCTGGAAGAGGCCTGCCTTCTGAGGAACAGGACCGTGCCATCTGTCCTCTGTCCTCTTAAGGCAAGTGCGTCTTGGTTTTGAAAGTCCAGCTCAAGGAGGCTCACATGAAGGGAGCCTGCCCAGACAGGGCCTCTAGCTGGGCCTGACTGCTGTGTACCATGGGCAAGCCTCTTCCACTTTCTGGGCGTCTATTTTCTCAACTATTACCAGGGGGTGGGCTCTGCATGGATCATCTCTGAAGCACTCATGGAGACCAGGCCAGTCTTAGCCCATCTAGACGTGGTTCTTTGCCCAGGCTCCTCCTCAGACTGCGTGCCCTTGGGCAAGTCACCTCACCTCTCTTTGCTTGCTGTTAGCATTGTCATGGGGTGTGATGGCAAAGGTGCCTGCCTCACGAGTGGTTGGCAGCCTAAGTGAGGTATTGTGGGAATAACTGGTGGGTAGGCAGGTGTGTAGGAAGCCTCACTGAGGTAGCCTTCCACAGGGCAAGGATGTAGGAATGCATCAGAGAAGGGGCCAGTCATTTCCCCCAAAGTGTTATGCTCCTCTGGGGCTGGCGTGAGGGGCATTTATCAACACTTGGGCACCGCCTTATGTAGGGTGTACTCAGTGTTCGGAGCTGGCGTCTGTGGAAAAAGCCTTGGTTTGAGGGTTGGCCAGATACAGGACAGAACCTGGCTCTGCCCAAGTCTTGCTCTGTGACCCTGAACAGCTAACTTCATCTCCCTGGGCCTCCGCCCCCCCACTGGCAAACAGGAAGTGGGTGTAAATCAGAATGCTGGGTGGGGTGGGGGACTCACCAACAAAGAGCAGTGTGAAGATGAGGGTGAGCTGGTAGACGGCGTGGCCCAGGATGTTCTTCATCATGGTCCGCGAGATGAGGGGCTTGTTGCGGCCGTAAGGCTTCCTCAGAAGCAGGGTCTCGGTGGGCGGCTCGGTGGCCAGCGCCAGTGAGGCGAACGTGTCCATGATGAGGTTCACCCAGAGCATCTGCACGGCCTTCAGAGGGGAGTCCTGGGGACAGCAACAGTGGCAAGGGCTGTCATAGGGAGACCGGCCCCACCTGCTGCCACCATGTGCCTGGTGTGGGGCTCAGCAGTTTTCTGCTGGAGCCTTGAGGCCGCTCTGCCCAGTTGGGTCTGTCCCCTGGGTTCCTGAGCAGGCACAGAGCAGGTTCGCTGAGGCTTTCCCTGGAGGATAGCCCAGACTTGCCCACTTTGGCTGTCTTCTTCCCCAAGGACAAAATGGACTCCCCGGGGCCAATGACAACTGGCTCTCTGGTAAATACAGCCATGTCTTTGCTTGCCACCTCCCTTCCTCCCTTCCTCCCCTCCAAGAGTCTCACCTCTGGGCAAGGCCACAACGACCCCCACCATCTCCAGCACAGGCTCCATCTCCTCTGTCTCCCTCTGCACCTCCTCGCTGCCTCTTTCCTCTCAACCATTAATGGTTCATGTCTCTCCTGCCCTGTGCCCCAACTCTGTCCTTTTATACCACTCAATTTCTCTTTATCCTTTACCCCACTTTAATGTCAGCAGTTATTGTGTGTGTGTGATCCCAAAAATAACATTTTTATGGTAGAAAATTTGGGCAAGTAAGGGATAGCAGAAGCTAAAACTCATCAGTGATTGAACCTCCTGTAGGTTCCCACCACCCACAGTCTGGCGTGATCTTCCACACCTCTGCCTGAGATTGGGATCACATATTCATACCGTCCTGTGCAATCATGTCATGCAGTTGGCACTGCCCAGAGTTGCTGAATCCATCTGTCCCCCTCCTTCCTCGCACCCTGTGTGCCTTGTCCTTGGCAGCCAGACCCTGGCCTCTCCACGCCCCCCAAAAATCTTTCCCCAAGGTCATCAGTGCCCACTTGTCACAATCGAGGAACACATCTTCCAGCCCATCTCACTGGCCTCACTGGTGTTCGGTCACAGCCCCTTCCTTGCACCCCTGACCACACTCACCTTGAGCTTCTTCTCTCTGAATGTTCCTTTTCCTTCTCCATCTCCCTCAGGGTGCTTGTCCTCTTCCCCTGCCTCTGAAATCTGTGCTCCCCGTGGCCCCTTCACCAAGTCCTGCTCTTTCCCCCTGACACCTGCCCCTGGCTGCAGGCGCCCCATCCTCCCTCACATTGCCCTCTTGCCAGCCCAGCCATCTCCCTGTGGCTTTAGCCTCATCCACTGGCGAAACACCTCCTCCAGGACGCCACAGACCCCGAGAGCCTAACAGCCTGAACTGAGCTGTTCCTGCTCCCTCTGTCCTCTCCATGTACCTCCCGAGGCTCCTGTCTGCACCCCATATGCTCACTACCTCCTAGGTATTTACCAGAGCTCCTCCTCCCGCCCACTTCTCCCACCTCTGCCCTGGCAGAGTCACAACCTCAGCTTCTTCCTGCCGTCAGCCTTCTCTGATCACATGCACCTTGGGGTTAGGGTCCCCGATCTCCACATCAAGGTCTCTATGGCTCTGACACCAACTCAATCTAAGACCTTAGGCAAACTGGTAGTCCTCTTGGAACCTCAGTTTCCCCACCTGGCATCTGCTTGTCTCAAAGAAGCCTTGTGAATTGCCATGTTGTGGGAGTGCCCCCATGCCACCACTAGAGGGAGCATCTCATCCACAAACCAGGAGAGAAGGCCCTTGAGTAGGGAGGGACTTCTTCAGCGCAACCCTCAGACTCTCTCAGGGCTTGGGTATTGGGTGCTGCCATGTGTATCCCCAAGGCCTCAGAATAAAGCAGAGGGGAGCAGTGTTCCCAGTGCCACACAGCTCTTTGGGGCAGTGCCAGCCTCCGGGCTTCTGGGGGTTCCTATGGGCAGGAACTTGTCTGCCCACTTGGCCACTAGGAGGGGCCAGAATTGGAATACGCCTGTTTCTCCCCCGGACCAGCCTGGTCAGCCCTTGGGGGAAGCAGGAGGCTATGGGAGTAGTGGCAGGCACCAAGACTCAGTTTTCTGGCTCTGTAAAATAGGGATCATCTTGCCGAAACCGGTTTGGCTCAGTGGTAGAGCGTCGGTCTGCGGACAGAAAGGTCCTAGGTTTGATTCCGGTCAAGGGCATGTACATTGGTTGCGGGCACATCCCTGGTAGGGGGTATGCAAGAGGCAGCTGGTCGATGTTTCTCTCTCATCGATGTTTCTAGCTCCCTATCTCTTTCCCTTCCTCTCTGTAAAAAATCAATAAAAGATAAATAAAAATAATGAAATAAAATAGGGATCATCACTGTTCCCTGCTGCATGGGGCAGGTGGGGAAGCAGGGGATGGTGATGTTGGGGCCTGTGGTTAACTGCCCCTGGGTACAGGACCTGGGGCTGCTCAAGACCCAGACTGAGATCCTGACAGACAACTGTCTCTCCCCGTGACAGTCCCTGACTCCCTCCTATGGCCCCAATTGGCCTCGGGAACCCAGGCAAACAGGCCTCACCCAACACCCTCCATGTGAGAACTAAGGCCCCCTGGGCCCTGCTGGGGCTCCTTGCCCCCATCTGGCTGCCTGATCTCCTTGGACCAGGCCCTGTCCCACCCTTCCGCTAGTCCTTTATGTGGCCATGAGCTCTGCCTCTCCTGCCTCCTGGAGCAATGACCATCGCTGTGCCTGGGTCAGGCAGGCATGGAAGTGAGGCCTAACATCTCCACTTGCCTGATGACCTTGGATAACCCCACCACATCTCTGAGCCTCATTTCCTCTGCTCCGCTGAGCTGGCGCCTGAGGTCTGTATGCAGTTACTGGCCCACAGCAGGCACCAGTGATGGGTGGGACAACCGGGGATGCCCTCCCCCAGGCTCCGGCATGCTCCACCCTGCCCACCCCTCGGGGAACCCACCTGCGTGATGCAAGCCCCCGTGAAGGCCACAATCACGGCCACCACGTTGACTGTCAGCTGGAACTGCAGGAACTTGGATATGCTGTCATAGACGTTGCGGCCCCACATCACTGCCTTGACGATGCTGCTGAAGTTGTCATCCGTCAGGATGATGTCTGAGGCCTCCTTGGCCACATCTGTACCTGCAATGCCCTGTGGGGACGGGGACAGGAGCCTGGGTGGGTCAACTGAGGAGGCCAGCAGCTCTAGCAACACTGCTCTCATCCCCTACACATCCCCAGTCCTATACAACCCCTACATATACACACCCAACTGCCAGCACAGCCAGATCACCGGACACACACACACACACACACACACACACACACACACACACGTGCGTACAGACGCATCTGCATGCACACACATCTACTCCTGATAGACCCAGCACCCTGGGGCCAGCCCTCTCTTTCAGGAAGCCTCTTTCTGCCCCCCCCCCCAGACCCACTAGCACAGGGAGCCTCCCTCTGCCCTTCCATTGGGCCAGGTTGGGCCTTGAGACCACTGGGCACATGAGGTGGACGGTGGGTGGGCTGAGTGTGAGCTGAGGGTCCCTCATCGCCAGCCTGAGGCTGTATTGTCCAGTTCCCCTAATGCCCTATCCGTGAGCTCCTGCGAGATGCTGCCCTTGCCCCCCCGCAAGCCTCTCCTACCATGGCGAAGCCCACATCCGCCTTCTTGAGTGCAGGACCATCATTGGTGCCATCTCCTGTCACGGCCACCACCTGCCGCTGCTCGGTGTGGGTGCTGTCGATGATGCCTGTGGGAGGGGGCAGGAGTGTGCTCAGGGCCCTGGGATGCTCCGTGGGGCAAGGACAATCTGGCCAGTCTTGAGCCTCAGGAGGACACAGGACTGGGCACAGCCTCCTCTCTGGCCTTTGCCCTGCCTGCTCTCCCCACCCCCACTCGTGGTTCTTCCCAGCTCCAGGGTCACCCATAGCTCCCAGCACCTGCAGCGGATGTCAGGCATCTTAGCTTAGTACCGGCTTGCAGCCCTTCATGGTCTGGGCCTGCTCACCAATCCAGCACCCTCTCTCCTCTCTGTAACCCATGGCCACCCCAACAGCCACCCTGGCCAGAATCGCTGCCTCCTGCCTGTCCAGGGGCTCCAGGGTTTTGCCAGGGGCTTACCATGTGCTCCCCCAGCACCACTCTCTGGGAGGCTCAGTCACACCTGAGGAGGTCTAGGCTGCGCCATTCGCCAATGACCTCCGACCTACTGTACTGGCCTTGATCTCTCTCTAGACATTTATCATCAATAAAATCCTCAATAAATAACAGAATGAATAGATGTCATGTGGCCCCTGTCACTGAGCTGGGGCCAGTGGAAGGGATGTGTGAAATGCGTCACTGGGCATGTGTGGAGTTTATGGTCAGGACAGAAATTTGAGTGTCGACCTTGACATGTTGCTCTCTCATTCTGCACATCAATGTGTGACTAAGGCCTGAGCATCCTGGCTCCGAAATCCCACTGGGATCCTTCCGCTTCTCTCTGTCCCCATCCCTCCTACCTCACTAACCCAGGGCTCCCCTTCCAATCTGCACAGCAGCGCCAGGATGAACGCCTGGGTCTGCACCTGGCCCCAGCATCAGCTGAGTCGTTCTCTCACTGCCCACTTGGCCTTGGAGGGACATCTCCTTTCTTAGCTCCGCTCACAAAGTCCTCCATGGTCAGAACTTGCCCATTCTCTGATCATCTCTTCTCTCAGCCCCCGGCCATCCCTCGTCTGTGATTTAACTTCAGGGATGGCTCTTGGTCTTGCAGAGCCAGCTCTACTTGGCCCTGTCTTTGCACAGGCTGTTCCCTCAGCCAGATCCCTGTCACCCACCTGCAGGCTCAGCTTGGAGGCCACTTTCTCTGGGAAGCCTCTGGGACCCCCTTCAGGCCCCCACCCTAACTGATCACTACAGCTCCCATTCGTCCACGTGTCCCCCTGTCCTGAACCTGGCAAACAGCACAGCCTGTGGAAGGAGGGAATGAGTTCCCTGACTTTGGGCACTTTGCTCTCTATCCCACCACCCAGCTTTCTATGACCATCCAAGTTCCACCTGCCTCCAGGCTCAGCTCCAAGGCATGTACTTGGGAGCAGTCCCGGCTGCTCCCTAGCTGATCCACTGCCAAGTACTATCCAGTTTCTGTCCACTTGGCATTTGAGGCCTTCATCCCTGTGGGGTCCCCTGCCTGCCTGGGTGCTCCTCCAAGGCAGAGGAAAGGCCGCTTTTTTTCTCTGAGGCTTCTCAGGCTGGCACTGACGTTCTCACAGGCCTCCTACTATTCCCAGGAGAGGGGGGAGCTGGGAGGACACCTTCTACCAGTCCCCTGTCCACCACGTGCAGTGCTGGCATGGCCCTGCCCTGTACGGCCACCAGGGGCCTTCCTGCGGTCACATCCTTATCCTGTTTCTCTAAACCTCTTAGGAGCTGTTCATGCTGTAGGCCTCTTCACCAAGCTTCCTTCCTTGCCTCCTGGCCCACTGCTACTGGCTGTCCTCCACCCTCTGGCTACCACTCCTTGGTCCTCTGCCTGTCACTCAGGTGTGAGGTCCTGGGTTCAGCTAGGTCCTCTGCTCTCCCTGCTCAGCTTACCCCACCTGTGTCTTCACCTCTGGCCAGCTGTCTCCTGAGCCCTGACTCCACGGATATCCATCTGTCCTCTAGACATCTCAGGTGGATGTCAGAGGGCCTTCAGCTCAGCCACCGAGTTTCCCCTCAAATCTGTCCCTTCTCTCACAACTCCTAACATCTAGCTGCTGCTCAAAACTACGTGCATGCTGGTGCGCAGCAGGCTCCGAAACAAGTGGAGACTTATGGAATCCCGGACCCGTGTCTGCCTCATCCCTCCCCCATATCCAAACCATCTCCAGGCCCAGCCCTTCCCCCACAGAACAGTTCTGTTCTCAGACCTGCTGACTTCCTGTCCACCAGCACTGTCACCACCCGGACCAGGTGTCACTTCTCATAGCTGGCCAATCCTGGTGGTCCCTCTGCTTCCGGGCCACTCTCCACACAGCAGGGAGTAAGCTTTCTAAAACAGTGCATGTCCCTTCAAGGCCCTCCCATAGTCCCCGCCCTGAGCTGACTGTGCGGTCACTGTCCCGGCATTCTAGGCCCTGGATGAGCTGAGGCTGGCACCTCCTTCTCTGGTCTCCTCTGATCTCTCTCTCTCCTCGAGGTCCCAGCCCAGCCAACTGAATGTTTTTTCACACCAGAAGGTGCTTGGAAGTCTCTGTCTCTGGGTTTTCATAATGCAATTCCCTGCCCTGCCTCAAACACAGGCCCCCCAAACCACCTTCCATGGCCTGTGATCTGACACCAGCAGAGGGTCTCAGATCATCCTTCTCTTCCCCCAGTGAAGCCTTTATCTCTATGTAGGGAAACCAGCTATTTAATATCTGCTGGATGGAACCTGGACCATGACTTCAAGGGGAAAGGCTATGATTACCAAGAGCGGGGCCCAGCACATGGTAGATCCTCAATAAGCATTTATCAAGACAACGAGTGAATGAATGAATGAGTGGCTGAATAAGAAATGGAGATAGAAATCGAGTGCTAGAGTGGGAGGAACTTGCCCAAGGCCACAGAGCAAGTCAGTGCCAGGGCTGTGTGACCCTGAAAGTACCTAGTATCTGGCCATCTGAGTGGACTCAGCAAGGGTACATTCTCTCTCTGGAGGGAGACAGGGAAGGAGAAGGATGCTGGTTGTTGTCCTCAACCGTCAGATTGCTCTTCCTAGGCCATCCTCAAGGTCTCAGAGACCAAGCAGATGAAAGGTCTCAAACTCCCAAGCTCTGGGGCCAGACAGCACATAAATAAATGAAGAGTGCTGAGTGTCAGAAAATAATGAGTATTAAAGACGGCGTCAAACATGAGAGAGCAGGATCTGTATAAAGTCATTCAAATTCAACATAAAAGAGGCGTTGTACCACCCAAGTAAAATACATCTGTGGGCCCCATTCAGTCCTCAAGCCATGAATTTTGGCTCTAGACAGGCAACCTCATTGCTTCCTTTAGGAACTGAAGCCCAGACAGAAGATTCATAGCCTCCTCATCTCATGGCTCTTAGGAGGCCTCCAGGGCTGCAAAGAGGGTGAGATCAGGGTGTCCCACATGTGGGGAGCCCCAGGCAAAAGCCTTTTTGTCCTGAGAAGAAGCTGTAGTTGCCAGGGAGGAGACTGAGGGGCCTGGCATCTGGGCCTTAGAATTGCCTGTGCCTGCCCAAGTCTTACCTTTGACCAGGGTGTGCTTGTCTGTGGGGGAGGAGCGAGCCAGCACCCGCAGCTTTGGCCAGATCTTGTCGATTCGCTCTTGCTCAATCTGGAGAGGGATGCAGGAGGGGGCGGATTGGTGGGGTTGGGGAGAGAAACTGAGGGCCAGAGAAAGGAGGGAAGTGCCTAGAATCACTGGGCTCTTGGCACATTCGCTGGCTTCTGGACAATCATGCAGCGCCCAAGCTTCCCAGTCCCCCGTCCAAGCTCACACCTCTGAGTGCCCTTCGCACTGGGCCACATACCTCCCCCTTCTCATTGCGGATCCTCTGGTTGAACTCCTTGCCCTCAATGCACAGAAAGTCCTCCCCAGGATGGATGATGCCACACTTGATTGCGATAGCCCGGGCTGTGTTGATATTGTCGCCGGTGACCATGCGGACTGTGATGCCTGCCCGCTGGCACTTTCTGATGGCTTCTGGGACCTGAGTGGGAGGGCAGGAGCCATGGGGGTGAGCATCACCTTGGTCAGGCCCTCCCTGCCTTCATAGATTCAGAGTGAGCCCCACTCACAGGCAGCGCCACTATAAGGGGCCTAGATGACCAGGAGCTACTGATGGCACATGGACCATCTCCACCCCTGCTTCTCCCATGGAAGGCATTATTAATCAATTGCAGCACCCTCTGATTAAACCCTGATGTGGCCTCAGAATTCTTCTCTGCAGACTGCCAGGCAGTTGCCACCTATCAACCGTGATAGCCCACTGCAGGATAAAAACAATGTTATCCGGACCTGGGCAAGGACTTTGAGAACACTCCCAATAAACTCCCTCAGACCTGGCCCCATGAGAGTACAAAGCACTCTTCTACTGCACAGGATCTTGTCTCTGCTGTATCCACATGCACATGGCCTGCAAAGTCAATGATAAATATGTTTGTGTATTTTTAGGTTTTTTTTGGGGGGGGGGAATAGGGGTGGGGTGTGGTGGGATTGCATTTGGGGACATTTTATTTACAGAATGCGACACTGGCTTAGAATACATGCAAATGATTATGTTTCATGTAAAATATGACATTTCCCTGTGAGAGTGACAACTGCTTCCTGCCCTCTTTGTAATATCGGGGCCAATCAGGTCAGGCAGGGCTAGCCAGTCAGAGGCCAGCAACCCGATCCCCTCACCCAGTCCCCAGCCTTATGCAAAACTTTGGATGTGGCTAGCAGTTAGGTTGCAAAAACCAGCCTGAACCTGCCAGAACACAGATCAACTTTATAGACAACACAGATCAACTGGACAAAACTCTTACCCATGGACAGTGACAGATAATAAAATAATAAGGCGATATTTGGCGTGAAACATGTTTTTGAGCAGGAGAGGACATGTCAAGAGCAGAACACCCTATGTTCTAGGCACTGTAGCACCTCTGGGCTGGAGGGGCTGAGTCCCACATCTCAGTGCCTGGGAGCTCACTTCCACCCTGGGAGTGTCTCAGGGAGCTAAATCTGCCAAGTCACTGTTGAGAGAGTTTGAAGGCTGCTTGGGGCTGAAATGTCTCTTCCCCTCCCCCCAGCTCCCCCAAGATACATTGAAATCCTCACCCTCAGGACCTCAGAATGTGACCTTATTTGGAGGAAGGGTCTTTGTACAGATGATCAGGTTAAGATGAGGTCATTAGGGCTCGGTCAATGTGGCTCTGGTTGAGTGTCAACCTATGAACCAAGAGGTCTCAGTTCGATTCCCAGTTAGTGCACATGACTGGGTTGCAGGCTCGATCCCCAGTGTGGGCCATGCAGGAGGCAGCTGATCAATGATTCTCTCTCATCATTGATGCTTCTTCCACTCTCTCTCTCTTTTATACATAAATATATATAAAAGACAGGGTCATTAGAGTAGGCCCTCACCCAATGTGACTGGTGTCCTCATAAAGAGGGGACATTGGACACGACTCACACACAGGAAGAAGGCCGATGTCAGGGTGATGCTGCTCCATGGCAAGAAGTGCTAGGGATTTCCAGCCGAGCACCGATTCCGGGGAGAGTACTGGGACTGGTCCCTCACTCACAGCCTTAGAAGGAACTGACCTGCCCATACCTTGATCTCGGATTTCTACCCTCTAGAACTGTGAGACAGCACAGGTCTGTTGCCTGAGCTGCCCAGTGTGTTACAGCAGCCTGTTACAGCAAACACAAAGAGTGAGAATGTTCGTCCAAAACCTGACTGTTGATGGCTCCTGCCTGCTGGTCCCTTTCTGCCCCCAGGATTTTAATAACAAAGGTCAACCTTGAAAATATCCGGCCTCTGTCCACACCTTTCTACACCATCATCTCAGGTCAGGGTCACTGCCCAGCCCCTCCTCAGCCTCCCTACCTCTGGCATTGCCCCTCTTCCCTCTTTTCCCTATCCTGACCACCAGGAGCCTGACCTGCTGAAGCTCAGCCTGTCACCTCCTTCAGGGGCTGCATGCTGCCCCTGGTAGAGAAAATCCAGGCTCCTAAGAATGACCACCTTGAAGTGGAGCGAGGAACAAATGGCATGAGAGGCAGATCAGGTCCTGATAAGGAGGCCTCTCCAGCTACGTGTTCCCTAAGAGACCTGCTCTGTGGTAGCAGGTAGTGACCTCCCTGTCATTGAGATACTAGCACAGGTGAGTGACCATGGCCTCTTCGAGGTGTATTTCCAGGGTCAAGGAGGAGCCTTCTGGGGCCTATTCAGGGATGGGGGTCACATGAGCAAGTTCTCTGCCTTGTGCCGCAGTGGCTGCTCACATAAGCAAATGTGACCTCCTTTTATGGAGCCGGAGGGAGTGGGGCTGTGGAATGTCCACATCCTGTTTACATAATGTATCGTGTCCTCACAATGCTATAGCTGGGGCTGCAGCTCCCGCTGTCTCCTGTCCCAGCGGACAGGGAGGAGCCACTGTTCTTTTGGGAACACTACCTTATGTGGCTCCTGCCCTGAAAGAAAGAATTTAGGTTATATTTGTTTCAAAGAAACTTGAGGTCTTAGAGTTGGAAGGAGCTATAGGTTGTGACTCTGACCTATATTCATTGCCTAGATCTCCCCCCAGGGGTTCCTGACAGATGGCCGGCCAGCCTCTGCTTGCACGTCTCTGATGACAGGGTGCTCACCGCTGCGGCTGGTTGCTCCACAGCGGAACAAGTCTATCGTGTCCTTCCACATTTTTCACATAATGGTCCGGTACTCTTGCATGGAGGCAGGGTCTTTGGTAAAGATCTGTATCAAGGGCTCTGGGAGCACGGAGGAGGATGCTGTTACTTTAGAAGGAAGTGAGTGGGGAAAAGAAATCTGCGAGAGCTTCCTGGAAGAGAGCTGCCTCTGCTCAGCCAGCACTAACTGAGGCTCCGGTGCCTGGCACACTGCCTTGGCCACGGTCCTGGCTGCAGAAGATTGTCCCAGGAAGTGCGCAGGCAGGGAAGGGGGAAGATTGCTGTGGATGAACTGCTGCGGGTGGCCTGGAGGGGCTGAGGCTGAGGGTGAGGAAGGGCCATGAGGCTGGAGAGGCGCCTGAGGTCCAGAGGTGCTCAAACCAGAGCCTTGCTCCTTCAGGCCTGGGAGCCACGGCAAATTCTGAACTGGGAAGGTTATTGGTGCCATGTTTTAGAAAGAGTTCAGCTTTTAAGACTGTCTCAGGGAGCTAAACTCTCTGGGTCTCCCCTAAATAGGTCCGCTGGGGAGAAAAAGGAGGAAGCTAATTATTATGGCCCCACACTTTTCTCTGTGCAGTGGAAGCTTCCTTGCCTCAGGATAGAGGGCTTAGGGCTTTGCCCAGGGTGCCCACCTCAGCCTTGGTTTCCTCTTGAAATTAGGATGACCGTCTCCACCCTTCAGCGAGGCTGCGGAGTTGTGTGACAAGGGCCGAACAGCACCAAGCACAGGGCTTGCAGATGCTGGTGACAAGAATGCATCTGCATCCACACCCCAGTCTTCCTTGCTTGTGTTGTTCTGCTGGGGGCAGGGAGGGATGCGAGGGGGTGTGGATGCAGATGCAGTGCGGGTGGGGTGCAGTGGGCATCTGGCCATGAGGAGGAGCCGGTGTTAGGTAGTGGTACGGATGGGCACCCCACTATGACTCTTGGGTCAGATTCTTTAGGGGCTTGTGACCTGCTCAAATGTGGGGGTGTTTGCGACAGACCTGGAAACACCTGAGGAGCCCCCTGGCCACCTGAGATACTCCACTTCCTTCCTGGGCAGTGGCCCTCCTAACTGGATGCCTTGGTTATGCTTCATGCTTTTGTGTGCTGGGCGTCTACACTTCCCCTTCACCAGACGTTTCCTTAGGCTTTGGGCCCTGGAGGGTGGGTGCTGCCCATTACTTGGAACCCTCCAGAGGGCCTGGCACAGAAAAGGTGCTCTGTAAACGTGGGGCATTGTGAACCAGCTCTGTGCTAAGTCCCTTGAAGTCTGAGCTGGGACATGTGATTTTATACAGGGCCAGATGAATGCATTTGGATGGGGATTTGCAAACCCTTCACAAATCAGCTCCAAGATCCATTTCTAGCCTTTTTTTTTCTTATAAACCCGACTGGGATATTCACTAGTTTCCAACACTTAGCCACCCTTCCCACCTCCTTGCCTTTGCCTGTGCTGTGCCCTCTGCCTGGATGGCCCCTCTTTCATGGGAAATGCTCTCTACTCATACGCCATCCTTGCTTTCTCCAACCCAAGGGCACACTTCTTTCAGCTCTCCCAGTACTTCTTTCTATTGCTCACTCATTCACTTATTTGGCAAACAGCTATTGAACATTTAATGGTTCTGGGCACAGAGGATTTGGAGATGATTAAAACTCAAGCCCCAGGGACACCAATCTGCCTGAAATATGCTTTCACATAGATAAAATAGCTATAAAACTTAAAAAAGATTCCTTCTTTTGCTAAAATTATCCTAAATATTTCTCACCGAGGAAGAACAGCCAGGAAATGGGCTCTTCCTGTTTTCATTAAATAAAGGCTTTTAAACATCTGCTGTTTCTGGTGACAGCCGGTTGTCTGTGACTCCAAGGGCTCCCACACCCCCGGATAACCCAGCGAATCCCAGACGGGCACTCTCCTGATGGCTTTCTCCACGCTGGCCTCGATCAGCCTCAGGAAATGTATCTGCGGTCGCGTCCTATGGTGGAGTGTTTGGCAAGCCTGTTTTTAGCTGTTCTGTCCTTGTTTTCTTGCAGGAGGAAGGCAATCGGAGGTTCTCCCCCATGACAGAAGGGGAAACCAAGGAGCCAGAGTTTGTTTTCCTGTGGCAGCTGCAAGCCGGGTCTGAACGTGCTTATAGGGCCCTAGAGGTGGTCCATCCAGGCTGAGGTTTTCACCCTGGCCGGCCTCAAGGCTGTCCGCGAGAACTTGATACAAACACACTCACTGCAGGCATAGACTTTCCCCAAGACTATCCATGACACTGATGAGGATGCTGCCGCTGAGGTGGGAACTGGGGAATTGGGGGTAGCAGGGGGGCTACTTCACCCTGTCTGTGCCACTGAACCACTGAACTGTTCGAATCTGGCTTCACGTGCATAAATTACTTAGCCTGAAAAAGAATACAAAACGACACCTGCCAGTTTCCTCAGGCCCTGTGTCCATCCCCGCCGCTCTGCGAGATGCTGAATCAGCATGTAAGAGCTTTATACCTTGAGTAGTATCATCATTAACTCCTACAGTGAACGTCCAACTTTCTCATTGTTTAGATGGGGAAACAAGGCCTGGGGGAAAGATGCACGGAGATCTTCTGTGAAGGAGTGGCAGGCACAGAATTAGAACCATGGTCCCTTGAATGCCATTGTCACTTCAGTAAGTTGCTGCTCTCTATCACAATTTACAACTTCTAAATCTACATCCTGGGGATGAGCTAAGGTGAGAGAGGTCACCAACAGGGATGTGCTGACTGAAGGGAGGGAAGAAAGGGGTGAAGGTAAACCTTCCAGTCAGCTGGCTCAGAATGTCAGAGCTTGGAAGTGACCTGAGGGGCACTTGGGCCAACCTCCCATTTTACAGATGAGGAGATTGAGGCACAGAGAGGGGAAGTGGCCTATCAGTAGCAGGGTTGGGGCTTGGACCCAGGCCCACTTTCTTTACTGTAGAGGCCTCCAGGATGGAAGTGCACCCAAATCCTGCTGGGTGGGACAGCAACCCCTCCCACAGTCTGAGCCTGAAGCCACGTCTCTGGATGATCATACTGTCAACAGAAAATGCCAAGGACCCAGTACAGCCCTTCTCAGGAATCCTCTCTCCTCTCCTCACCCTCCTGACTTAGTGTAGCTTGCCTTTTCTTTTCAAAGAAATATATTTTATTAATTTTTTACAGAGATGAAGGGAGAGGGCTAGAGAGTTAGAAACATTGATGAGAGAAAAACATCAATGATCAGCTGCACCTTACCGGGGATGTGTGCACAACCAAGGTACATGCCCTGGACCAGAATCGAACCTGGGACCCTTCAGTTCGCAGGCCAAAGCTCCATGCACTGAGCCAAACTGGTTAGGGCACCTTTTTTTTTTTTTTTTTAATGGCAGGAAAAGGTCATGGGTCAGGAAGACAGAAAACCTGTTCTAATCTGAATTTACTTGGCCACTTACAAGGAGACTTTGGGAATGTCACTCTTCCTGTTTGGGCCTTAGTGTTTTTATCTGCAAACTGGGGGTGTGGGGGAATGTTTAGACTAGACCAGCAGTGCAAACCTTGAGTCCCCCGCTCCTCCCCGCCTCTTAGTGGAATGTCAAGTCAGTTTAATAGGTGGTGACCAGAATTTTAAAAAGAAGGAAAGAAATACAAGAGAACAAGAAATATTTAAGTGCATCACATTACTTTGTGAGATTCTTATTTTGGTTAAGCATGTGTATTTACTGAGTCATGACATAAAACACATTTCTCATCATTGCACTCATGGCTACTTTGCACCCATCTCAAAGGTGTTTTTAGGCAGGGTGATGAGCCAGGAGCTCTGGGGATGTGGGGCTGGAGGGGGATCCTGGGGATGGGAAGGACAGGGGAGCTGCAGGCCAGCCTCATGAGCTGTGCAGGGGCAAGTCTCAGTGGCTTGTGAGGAGATAACACATCACGGTGAAGCCTGAACCCATTAGCAGCTGGTAATGAGCAGGTATCCCATAGTGGAGCTGAAAAGCGGCCTGTCTGCCCAGGGAGAGATGCAGTCTGCAGGAAGATGCATATAGGCTCTGGTGTAAGCACCAGGGCATTAGGTGCCTTTGCAGTTTTAGGCTCTGGGTGGGATTGAGGAGGGGCGCTGATCAAGGTAAACTGTCGGTGTGACCTAGGCAATCTGGCAAGTGTGAACTAACTGGTAAACTGGATCTGGATGGAGAGAACTCTAAATGCTGCCAGGAATACCACACTTGGGATGGTCCTGTGTCTGGTGGCCTTTATTACTGGCCATCTCCTTTTCAGGGACATAGGAATCTAGGCTATGAATTTGTTACAGGAGGTCCTGGCTCTGTGGAGCAGGAGGCTTCTAAAACAGGGCAGCGCTCACTCCTGTCCCTTGGGGGGGCCGGTGGAAGGTCTCCAATGGCTGGGTGGACGGCTCCAGGATTGCTGGCATGGTGTGGATTCCACTCTATAACCTGAGCAGATCATTGCCAAGTTCGGCCTATGCTGGTCTGACGAGTCTGAATGTTTAAGAGAAGGTAAGAAGACCCCAGGTGTGTCACAGGGTAACTGAGACTCAGAGAGGTGAGGTGACTTATGCCAGGTCACCCAGCCAGTTGGACTCCCCGCCTCCACCCTTTTCCCTGATCTGCTGGTGGGAGGCCTACCTCAGGCCGCACGGGGTCCTCAATGCCCACCACACAGATGCAAGTAAGGTCGTTCAGGATATCATTCTCATTATCCCAGTCAGGCTCGGGGCTGCTGGGGAAGTCGCGATAGGCCACACAGATGGTGCGGAGCCCATCACAGGCCATAGGCTCGATCACCTTCTTCACCATCTCATCCCGGTCACGGGGCCGGAAAACCCGGGGCTCACCTGACTCGTTGAGGATTTTGCAGCACCTGGGGGGTTAGGGGGAAGGAGAGGGTGGAATGGAGATGGTAAGGTCCAGCCAAAGGCCCAGAGATCTTTCCTCTGACTGGCTCACCTCCTTCTCCCCAGTGATGCCCAGCTGGCTGTGGTGGATCATCCAATGCCTGTCCAGCCCATCTCCCAGGACTGGTCCAGGCCCCAGGCAGGGATGAAATAGGCTCCAGGACTGGTCCAGGCCCCAGGCAGGGATGAAATAGGAACCACCAAAAAGAAATCAGGCAGCCTTCTTGTAATATCTGCCCCAGTGCACTCAGCAAGAGCAGATTTACTTTTGTCTGTTTTATATTTACAAGATTCACTTGAAAAAATAGTCCCACAGCTAAAACAGCTTTTAAAGGGTATAAAACTTAGGCTAGTGGTTCTTGACTCTGCTTGCACATTAGAATGGCATGAGGGAACACAATACATAAATACCCACGTGGGAGCCTTACTCCAGAGGCTTCAGTTCAGTCTGTCCGGGTTAATTGAATGGTTTCTGAAAAGCTCCCTGGTTGATTCTAGGGTAGCCAGGGTTCAGAACCACTAGGCTGGACCAATTCTTTCAAGGTACAAGTGGGGAAACTGAGGCCCAGAGTCTGGGAGTAACTTGCCTAGTTTTCTAGGCTTAGTTCTGGTACCTGGAGTCAGAGGAGACTGGCTGACAGTGAAAATCACTACCATCCAGAGAAGAGGAAGAGGAGAAGGGGGAGGAGGAGGAGTATTCTCGATAGAAATTTTAAAGAGGAAACAGTGGAAAAAATACTGAGCAAGGGACCTGGAGGTGGGTAGGACCCTCTCTGAGCCTTTGGGTGCCAGATGGCTCCCCTGGCTGGACAGTGGAGCTGTGACACCCATGGGCCCTGGCTCCCCGCGCCACTGCCCGCTCACTGTGCCACTTACTTCTTGAGCACGATCTCAGACGCGCCCTTGCTGTACATGCGGAAGCTCTCGTCCGGCAGCTTGATGACTGTGCTCATGGACTTGCGCACAGAGTTGAACGTGTACACTTTGTACAGCTTCTCCTCCGGCATCTGGCTGCGCACGGCATCGTAGTCCTGCTTCAGGTCCAGCACGAAGCCCAGCAGGCCGCACTCGGTCTTGTTGCCCACCTGCCGAGGCAGTGCACCCTCCTTCTCTGGGGGCTGTGAAGACACAGGTGGGGGGATTTCATAGGGGGGATTTCTGTGGTCTGAGGGGTGGGGGCCAGGCTCTGGGAGCCTTTTGCTTTCCCCTGCACCCTCAGCCCTCTGCATCCTAGACACAATCCTGGCTCTGAATGCAAGGAGTTATGCAAGATCTACTTTTCAAAAAAAAAAAAAAAAAAAAAAAAAATTACAAGCTATTTCAAACATACAAAAGTGATAGAAAAGAATAAGAATCTTAGCATTATGCCTTCTTTCCTTCAGATTTTTCTTTTTTTAAAAATTTTTTAATTGATTTTTAGAGAGAGAGGAAGGAAGAGGGAGAGATAGAAACATCAATGATGAGAGAGAATCACTGATTGGCTACCTTCTGCACATTCCCTACTGGGGATGGAGCCTGCAACCCAGCATATGCCTTTGACCGGAATCGAACCCTGGACCCTTCAGTCTGCAGGCCAACGCTTTATCCACTGAGCCAAACCAGCTAGGGTGAGATTTTTCTTCCACACCCTGCACCCCCCCCCCCCCCCCCCCCCCGCCAATGTATCTCTTTCCGTCTGTATAATCCATTCCTTGTTTCAGAAAGAACCTTCTCTTAAATTTAGCATTAATCATTACCTTGTATGTAATTTTTCCCCTCCTTAAACAACGGAAGTTTACTTTCCCACAGTTCGGAGGCAGAAGTCTGAGATCAATGTGTCAGCAGGATTGTTCTTCCCCGAGGCCTCTCTCCTTGGCTTATCCTAGTAGATGGCTATCTTCTCCCATGTCTTCACATGCTCTTCCCTCTATACACGTCTGTGTCCTAATCTCCTCTTCTTATAAGGTCATTAGTCATATTGGATGAGGACTCATTCTTAGCACCTCGTTAAAGACCCTATTTCCAAATACAGTAACATTTTGAGGTACTAGGAGTTAGAACTTCAACATATGAATTTAGGGAGACACAATTCAGCTCACAACACTTTCCAGTAGGTATTAATCCTGACCAGTAGAGAGCAGTCATGGGACTTGACCACACAGGTTTCCTCCTGCCTCTACCCTGCCTGTCTCACATTCAGTAGCAATGTCACTCCCTACCACCCTGCTCCCTGGGAACATCCAGTATCTCCCTTTTGTTCTGATGCAACTAAGCCAGGCTGGTTTTAGTATAGATCTGTGATCCTGGTTGCACCCAGAATCACATAGGAAATTTATAAATTCTTAAAATGTTTTTTCAATTACAGTTTACATTCAATATTATTTGTATTAGTTTCAGGTGTACAGCATAGTGATTAGACAATCATATTGTTCTCTCTGATGTTGCCAGTACCCAATTGGCACGCACGATACATAGTTATTACTATATTATTGACTATATTCCCTATGCTGTCCTTTCTACCCCCATGACTATTTTGTAACTATCTATACTTGTTAATTCCTTCACTTTTTTCACCCAGACCCCAACCTCCCTCCTGTCTGCCAACCAGCAGTCTGTTCTCTGCATCCGCAAGTCTGTTTCATTCGTTTGTTTATATTGTTCTTTAGATTCCACATATAAGTGAAATTATATGGTATTTGTCTTTCTCTGTTTGACTTATTTCACCTAGCATAATAACCTCTAGGTTCATCCATGCTGTCACCAAGGCCATTTATTATTTATATTTTTGATTTTTTTTTCTTAAAGAAGACCCTTTAATAGTTCTTTTAATATTGGTTTGGTGGTGATGAACTCCTTTAGCTTTTTCTTCTCTTGGAAGCTCTTTTTCTGTCTTTGATTCTAAATTATAGCTTAGCTGGGTAGAGTAATCTTGGTTGTATCAATAGATCCTTGCTTTTTATTTCTTTGAATATTTTGTACCAATCCTTTCTGACCTGCAAAGTTTCTGTTGAGAAATCAGCTTATAGTTTTATAGAAGTTCTCTTATAGGTAACTTTTTCTCTTGCTGCCTTTAAGATTCTCTTTGTCTTTAACTTTGGCATTTTAATTATGATGTTTCTTGGTGTGGGCTTCTTTGGGTTCATCTTATTTTGGACTCTCTACACTTCCTGGATTTGTGTCTAGTTCTTTCACTAGGTTAGGGAAGCTTTCTGTCATTATTTTTTTCAAATAAGTTTTCAATTTCTTGCTCTCTGACTTCTTCTTCTGGCACTCCATGATGTGAATGTTGGTACACTTAAAGTTGTCCCGAGGTTCCTTCTGCTATGTTAATTTTTTGAATTTTTTTTTCTTTTTGCTGTTTGGATTAGGTGTTTTCTGTTTCCTTATGTCCCAAATCACTGATTTGATTCTCTGCTTCATCTACTCTACTGTTGATTCCCTATCATTGATTCTTCATTTTAGTTAGTGTATTTTTCATTTCTGATGGGTTCTTTTGTATGATTTCCATGTCCTTTTTTAATGCTGTTGACATTCTCAGTAAGTTCTTTAAGCACCCTTAAAACTATTGTTTTGGACTCTATATCTGATAGTTTGCTTGCTTCCATTTCACTTTATTCTTTTTTTCTGGATATTCCTCTTCTTATTTCATTTGGGACCTGTTTATTTATCTCCTCATTTTGGCTGCCTCTCTGTGTTTGTTTCTAGGTATCACGTAGAAATGCTATCCCCTGGGCTTGGCACAGTGGTCTTAGCAGTAACCTGTAGGACTGTTGGCGCAGCCTCCCCAGTCATCCAAGCTGGGTGCTCCAGGTGCATCCCTGCGTGGGTTGTATATACTGTCCTGCTATAGTTGAACCTTGATTACTGTTGGCATGCCACTGGGAGGGACTGACCACCAGGGTGATTGGATGTGAGGACCAGTTGTGACTACAGTGGAGGAGCTGCTATGCAGGAATCAACCCTATGTAGCAAGACTTGCTTCTGTAGGGTTTTGGTGCCTGCTGAGTCCACCCCTCGAATGTGTCATGCATGGAGGTTCGAGAGTTGTAATTTGGTGTGGCTTGAAGCTGTTCACCCAGGTGAAAACCAAATTAAATGCTATTTTTGTAGGTCAAAATAGTCAAACATTGACAATTTTATATAGTTTAACCTAATGTACGTGTGTGTGTGTGTGTGTGTGTGTGTGTATGTGTAGTGCTATTTTGCATGTTGAAAGCTTCTTGCTTTACTCATGTACCATTACATTTTTGAGAATCATCTGTGTTTATTGTGCTAGTTTTCACTGCTCTATGAATTAAATTTTGTGGTAAACCACAATTCACTTCTCTATTCTCCTGCTCCCTCCTTTTTCCTTTTCTCCAGCATTTGGCACCGGCAAAGGATTGGCCCTCCAACCCATGTGCTGGGCTGCATGAACACCAGAGTCCCTGTCCCAAGACTATATCCCCCAGCCCCTCTCACTTTTGCAGTGGCTGCCTAAACCGGGGCTGCTTCATGGCTCTGTACCTACGCCTCTTCCCTGCCAGGCAAACTCCTCCTTGCCCTATAAGGGCCAGCTGAAATCTCTCTCTTTTTGAAAATGGCCCTGAATGAAGGAGTGGTATTCTTTTCTCTGTGGGTTCCTAGGGCCAGCACAGAGCTCAGTATACTGTAGGCACGTGCTAATTGTTTGCTGGATGGCTCAATGCAGACCACTCTGGTGGGGGAGGTGGTGTAGGTTAACAGGTTAGAACAAGGCACCTCCTTGGGCAATTGTGGGATTAGAAGAAGGTTATGGAAAGTTCTTATTTGCAGATAAACTCACTTCTCCCACAAACTCACACAAATGTGCATACAACCACTCATAGTACTTGTATAAAATTAACATGTACCTACTCAGAAAGTCACCACAGTTAAACCCAAACTTTAGAGAGAATTTGAAGAGGAATAACTACCTATGAATGTACCCGAATCTCTCTCCCCTGGCTTTTGCCCCCTGTACCACTAGTGGCTTTTCATGGGTCTCAGGCTGATCTTGCACATAAACCCTCTGCATCTTGACCCTCAGCCTTCCTCTTATTGCTCAAAAGACCAGCCTAGACTGGAAGGTGGACTCTAGAAGATGCTAACATGGACCAGCTATGTGGGTGATAGACAGCAACTGGACACATCTCTTCCCTCCCCTCACTCCTACACTTAGGGCTTAGGCTGCGGAGCTGACCTGAGTCCTGTGGGGTCATGGGCATTGATCACTTGACCATTCTGAGACCCAGGACTCATAAGGAGGACTGAGCCTTGGACTCCAACCCCTTACCCTCAGTTTCTCATCTGCAAATGGAGAGACTGGAGCAGAGGATCTCTAGCTGAGAGAAAAATCAACCCCTTTACAACCCTTCTCATCAAGCAGATAAGGGTGAGTGACGGTAGGGCAAGGCAGGACCGTGTGCGTGGAAATGAGGCTCAGGACACCCTTCTTGCTCCCATGCCATGCTGGCTCCATCTCCTTGCTCCCTCTGCCAAGCTCTTTGGTGGGATTTGCTGTGAAAGCAAAGGAATCTTTGATACAGTGTTCCATTTCTGACGTTTGGGAAAACAAATGCTCAGCCCTCTCCTTTGTGTCTGCAGAATGCTGTTATGTTGTGCTTTTAAAATTTATATATTTATTTACTTCTTATTTTATTTTAAAAACAATTTTATGATTAACCTTCTGGTGATTTCCAGAATTTTATGTATTTTCCACAATAGTTTCTTTCCCCCTCCACAAATAAAAGAAAATGACGACACAGAGCATTTAAATAAAAATGCCTAATTACTTATTTGCCCAAGAGAGCTGAGCAATTATGCCTGCAAAACACCCAGCATTTTATTACCCTCTGTGAAATATTTTAATTTTCCTCTAAAAGGATTTCAAGCAATCCATGGTTGCAAATGGCAGAGTTGCCTCCCCATAATTCAACATAATTCAATTTGTTTCCATGAACTTGAGCTCTGAAATTGCTTACATGCATTACCAAGAATCAGGGGCCCACCCTTTTCTCTTTTGGCTTTTTTAATCTTGACAAACTCAGTGGTTCTGCCATTGCTGTTGACTTTCCAGGGGCCTTTTTAGCCCCAGGGCTCCAATTCCCTAGGGAGTTAAGGTGTGGGTATTATTCTGTCT